TCATAAAATCTCACATTAATAAAGTTATCCTTTTAAAACCTTTTAAAATTGAATTTGGCATTGAATATGCCATAAAAAGCATACAAACAGCAACAATTTGTGCACACTTGCCTTTTGAATAGGATCCAAGCTCATTATTTASTTGTGTTATGGAAGGGAACCCCATGTTTACAGTGCTTTATCAATAAATGGACAAAACAGTTTAATTTTTTCTAAAGGAATGTCTGATTCTGCACACAACAAAATCTTGGATAAACTCCCACCTCACTTATGAGTGTTCAGGAGTTTGCATCATGTCTCTCTCAGCTCGCTGTTTGTGATGTGACTCAGACAGGAAGTGGACTTCACGCGTTTTCTTATGCATCCAGCTCATCATGTGCCAACAAAACTTACACAACAGTTCTTCTCCAGATAAATGAAGAACAGCTGGGAAATTGTTCTGTCCTAAACGTTACAATAGCTTCATATTTTTTGGAGGACGTTGCTGTTTTAGTGAGTCTGTTTTGCCTCGCATTGTGGCTCACTTTTATTTTTTCCTCTCTCTCTGTATTGGGAGGGGAGTTCAGGAAGCTCACCTAACRGCAGGTACAGGGAGCGACCGCAGCCAAAATAACCCAGAAACTCGCCCAAATCAGCGAATTCTGTGAGATTCAGCGTTTTACTAGATCACATTTTGTTTGGTCAATTCTGCGATTCCGTCTTTTTCCTTGTCAACTTATAAATGAGGGTGGAGCAGGAGTGGGTGAACTCTGATTGGCTGTTGTCATGCACATTTCCGCCATGTTTGATTGAGTAAAGAGGCTCACAGCTGATCACCGTAATAATCCTGAAAATTTTCTCAATCAATAATAAATAAATCGCCCAGCCCTACCACCAGCATTATCGCAAAGGTGACTTTTAGTGCAGACAGGATTTCAAATCTCATTTGTAAAAGATGATAAATAAATTATGCAAATTAAAGCTAATGCACTGCACTTTTGAATAAACAGAACAGGGGRAATAATTAAACATAATTATTCAGTGAACTTTTTGTTATAGCTGTTTTTTTCTAAGCCCTTTTTTTAAAAGGCAAAATGCAATCCTCCTCCTGTCTTTTCTACTAAGTAAGCAGTTTTGTGKTAGTTTATATCCCTGACAGGTATATGTCAGCTAATATGTAGCTCTCAGTTTTAACTTGATATCTTTTTTGTCTCTTTTGACATCTGAACTATTGTGCTGCGTGGRACCACAGCTCGTGTTCATCCATGTTTGTCTTGCAGTGACTATTAAGCCATTTTTGTCACYATCTTGTATAAATCCCCAATTTACCCCAATTTCCATTAATTGTCAAATTTTAGTGTTTACTCTCATGGAAAACTGGTAATTATTGGAGCCACAAGCTGTAGATGTAATGACTTCACGTCTTCTTGATTTGCTTTCATCTGGTAATTTTCTTCATTCCTCCAGCCCAACAAGTATGCACTCTTCTCAGCTGTCAGCGTTGTCTGAATTTGGGTTAGCTCCTTCTCAAAAGCCTTTAAGCAGTCAAAAACCCAGACTGGTGACAGGTTAGCCATTTTAATTAAATGCTGTTGAGTTAGATTAAGAGCACCTCCAGATTTAGGGCAAATATAAGTCTTCAAGAATCTCAAGTATGTCAAGGCATGACACAAAGAAACAAAAAATATGYTGCTAACTTCCCTTTAAGGGTGCTTTTGTTACTTTGAGTATGGGCAACATACAGTTACATCAAAATTAGAAGGCACTGAATTTATTTATTTTTTTCCACCAAGGGGGCCCATTTCTGGATAAATCAGCCCGAATGAGATATTTGCTGTTAAATTTACAAAGAGACAGAAARAAACTACAACACTGGTGTTTTGTTATGGCTGCTGGCTGGTGTGTTGTTTTGCCCTGATTGTGCAGACAGCCAACCCCTTYACCTTCAGAGATGAGCTAATCCCACCAATTACCCCCTGAGGTCCACGGTTAGGGATAGCCAGCTGAGTCATCCCTCTCCCCTCCGCCTGTGCTTTCTGCTGGGACAGTATCACTCATCTGTCTGCTTGGAACYGGGCCCACTATAAAGGGGTCTAGGGAGGGATTATTAATTCAATAGACCCAGACCCCATCCTGTTAGTTAAAATTGATGTTCACAGTCAGTGGTTCTGTTTAGCAAGGTGAAAAATGAAAATATTTGTATTGGCAAGAATTGTGCCAGTAATTTAGTGTAATGTTAAAGTTCACTGTGTGTGTTTTCTGAATAACAATGTGTTGTATGGACAGATTACAGGGCAGAGTCTAAAGCATTAATGCTYGTGGAAGAGGCAGGGAGGGGAGGTTAGTGGCCATCTGGAGACAAATCCCCCCACCCTTCATAAATACAGTATAAGCTGCAGCAGGACATAACCACCATCAGTGATATAATTTTACTTTTATTAGTTTTTATGTCTTTATTTGTTCAATTGTAAGCGCTATTTGCTGGGTTTTAATTAATTTATGTTACCACAGATAGTTATAAATTACATCTAACATTTTATTTTCATTGTCAGTTCTGTACGCTTTAATAGGAGATAAGCTTGGTGCCAGTTGTGAAGTATTTAAAGTCTACATGCCCCAAAGCATATGTTGTCTGTGTCAAAATGGTTCCAGTTCAGCAACTGGTTCAGCAGACCCTGGACCCCCTAAGGCCTACTGGCTGCCACGGACAAAATAATTTGAAGAAATGTGGCTGTGCAGCCAAGTCAAGCTCAGAAATCTGAAAGGTGGTAATGACTTATGAGATCCAAAATGGAAAGCGTGAAAAGGCTGAAGGAAAGAATGACTCATAGTCTAACAGAAACAGAAAAATATGTATATGAAAACATAAATTATATGTACATGATAATTTAGATCACGATGATTGATTGGATTTTGACCCACCCCTGAGTAGGTGTAGGTGTAGGAATTGAAGAATTATTACAGGAAAATAAAATCCACATTGTTTCCTCCTGATTTCTCTTGTCATTTTGTTCTTATGATCTTGGTTTTTTTTCCTGCATAGTCACTGCCTAATTGCCCTTCAATAAACCATGTACATAAACATTAAAACTATAAAATATTAACATTTACATTAGTGCTGCAGGGTGATCTAATAATCAATCACRTTTTTTGTTTTGCAGACATACTCAGGTCTCTTCTGTGTTGTCATCAATCCTTACAAAAACCTGCCCATCTACTCAGAGAACATTATTGAGATGTATCGAGGCAAGAAAAGGCACGAAATGCCCCCACACATATACGCTATCTCAGAGTCAGCATACAGGTGCATGCTGCAAGGTAAGTCTGAGCTTTATTGTTGTTTATAACCAGCTCCTCTCTATCTCGGTCCACCACACTGCCAGGAAGTAACGCTCAAATGGACTTCAAAATGTCACAGGGTGTCTGTTGGTTTCAAGGTTTACRTTTTTTAATTTTTTTTATTTTCAAGTAAAAGGTTTAAAGGTTTAAAGTTTCTCTGAGAATCACAACAGAAATGTCATTGTCGCTGTATATTTTTGTAATTATTTATGCATAATTGCGGCTCAGAGTCGGAAATGTTCTGTGTGTCGGCTTGCTGCAGCTGTTTTGACTCACACAAGACGAGACTTTTTTTAAAGTGAGAGCAGTGCAGGCTGAGTGATGTCTTCCAAGACCTTTGGCATGTAGTTGGCATGTCTCCAAGGCTCTATGAGCAGTGACTGACTGGGATCAGACCAGCAAGAACAGAGAGGGTGACCCCATTGTGCCCGACAATAGATCCTTTGTGGGGCTGTGAGGGCTGACCAGTGGGGGTGGCGACAAACTGGACAGTTCTGTCAGTCCTTTTAGGTTTTGTTGTCCTTTATTTTTCTGCACTCAAGGAAGTGGAGGACCTCTGTGATTTGGTAGTCACTGTGCCATTTCTGTTCAAGAACAACAAACAGAAATAACCACTTTTTGTACCTTGTTTCTGTAGGTGTAAAATTGTGCAGACCCTCCATTTAAGTTTGCAGAGGTTTTTTTGCATATGTCTTTTCTTTGCATTGCGCAGTCTTTTATGCAAACTGAGATTTGACATTCATAATTTTACATGAATAGTTAGTTAGTTACCTTAAATGAGGCCCTCTGCTTGTGCTAAGTGGATGTCTTTMAGCGATTTTAATTCTGCTGCATCCCTTTTGTGTGCAGATCAGGAATAACAGATGTGGTTTAAAAGGAGGTTTGTAGGTTAGAGATTATTGAAGGCCAGCTGCTTTCAGAAGTGGCCCTGAGCATTTTACCAACCTGGGTAATGTAAGAAATATTAAAGCTCTAAAAAAAGATATTTTTTTTCTTTATTTCAACAGAGTGGCAATAAAGACACTGATTTGTTTTAAGAAGTGAATATTGATCAAGATGCATCTTTTGGTGCAAATAAAAATTAACCTTTTTAACTATGAGATGGAAATTTTGCAAGCATGTTTGTTTCTTTAACTTGAAAAACACAGCTATTTGAAACAGTGACATTCTGACTCAATTTTCTTATTTAATCTTTCAGTTTTTGTATTCTAAACCCATYTAAGCTGTTTTACTGCCACAACTGTTATTAACAGTGAAGACGGTTTACAGCAGAATGTCAGCGTTTTCCCTTTAGAAAAGGCTAATCTATTTTTGAGTGTTCATAAAATAAAAAATACACTTAGCTGCTCGCTGCAGATCTACTTAAAGAGTGTTGTGCACATCAGCRTTCTGGCAGTGTTTTTATATTGCAGTATGTCTCATTTTAATAATGCAGAAACAGGAATTGTGAAAGCGTACTGGAACTGAAAAACAAGGTCTATCAATGGGATGTCATTTATAAATAGTCTCATACAATATTCCTTTACTCATCTCTCCCTTCTGTTGATTTATGTGTTTTTAAAGTATTGGCAGTGTGCTGAGTAGGACTGCAACCAATGAAAAATACAGTAGTTGTCTAATCTGTAGATTTCTTTTTGATTGATMAGTTATTCAGTTAATATTTTAAATAATTTCTGCTTCCTGTGCGAGCATCTCCAGTCATTTTTGACCTTGCTTGCTAAGATCTGCCCATTTTTTTGTCTTTATCTTAACGCACTAGACGTTTCCCCAGCAAATAAAATAATGACCCATGAAAACATAAATCAATTTGTGGTGTTACTTGTTGTAACATTACATAACATTAAGATGAAAGAAGGCATACAAAAGTCTTTGGACACATAAGTAAACCAAATCTGATATTTACTGCAGCTTTTCTGTGAAGCCAACCATTTCTCTGAAGACAGGCCGAACGAGGTGTTGCCTAACAAAGATGTGGTGTGTGTGTAAGGAAACCTCTTGAACTCACTGGACATCTGTTACTGATTATGGTTTCAGATTCTTTGCATAATTGCCGTCATTGCCCTGACACTGTTTGCTTTCTGACATACACAAAACCGATGGTAGTATTTGTGAAACTGTGACTAAATGCCTGCGTTTGTTTGAATGAAAGCCTGTTAAAGTAGGAATCATGTTTGCATCTATTTTGATTTCCAAGTGTGAGCATGGCTCAGCAGAACTGTCCCATGTGGGGTTATGAAACAGAACCTCTTTGTTTCAGTGAAAATGAAGGAAAATTCATTTTTTAATCATTTTTTTTATATATTCTCCCTTAAATCAGGGCAAAAGATCAAGTCCGGATAGATCAAGCTAGACAAATTTTCTTTAAATACATGACAAAACAAATTATTTGTATAGTCTTTATATTGGACAGATTTCTTTTCCTGGATTGATGTCTGAAGTGTGTGTTTACACKTCATTGCCACTGCCACTTCTAAACACAGACAGTAGCCCTCAATGACCGACTTTGGTCTTGGACTRGTGTTGCACAGCTTCAAAATGAGCTCACTGTCATGAGTAAAAATCACCACTTTGTTCCTTTTTAAAGGAAGAAAAAGTAAATAGTCACTGCTGATTCCAGATTTGTAAGACATTCTTACCCTCTCTTTATTGTTTTTTTGTTTCTTTTTTTCCTCAGTGAATATACATGTGTATATCACATACTGACAAATTTTAAAATAACTTTTTTTTTACTTTAGCATATTATGTTACGTTTTTAGGTGAAGCTAGCAACAAGGTTCTCAATCACGCCAAATCCACAAAGCTTTTCTTATGATATTAATGTCAGTGTGTGTTAGTTGTCATGTGAACAGAAACCCAGTCCTTGTCAGACCTTAGCAGCACTGCACAGTCTTGAGACATGAATAGAATTGAAGTGACCACCAGACAAAGACTAGATCGTATCTGTCCAGTGTGTCTGCACCGCTCAGATAAAGAAGACAGTAGACTTCTCTGGGGTGGGGGCACGCTGTGACGTTTGTAGCTAATTTAAATGAAACGTGACGGCATCAGAAAAAGTCCCTACCTGTTATTACTGTGGATGGTGGGATAAGGTAAAGCTCTAGCATTTTTAAGGGATCTTTGCATAAGTAATAATTGAATTTGTTTTCTWTTTAGCCACGAACGCCTGGCTTACACGACTGTGTGGAGAGCAGAAATTTCCCCAATAAAGAGTTGTCTTCATTGACCCAAAACTCACTTTTTGTTTGACTGCGAAATTATTTTTTTGAGCTCTAATCAAAATTYTCTACAGAATAAGCACCACATGTTTTTACAATTTACATTTGTACATGYGTACACATATTTAATGATGAATAAATTCCACACGTTTCTATTTTAGACAAGTAAAYAAAGGTTACACCAATGTTATTCCATTTTGTCAGGAGGACATTTGTGTTAAAGTACAAAATTCTGCAAGTTTCTGCTCTAAACCAGGAAACCCATGCTATCCTTTATGAGTCGTGCAGCTGTGTCTTCCGTTCAATAATTGTCCAACAGTTTACCCCAAAGGAACACAGTCAGCACTTCTGGAGACCTTCACCTCTGGTAGAACAGTCCAGCCTCTGGCCCAACATGTACAAAGTGATTTATTGTGTTTACTTAAGAGACCTTAACTTTATTTTAGTTTTGCTTCCATTGTGCCAACAATAAGTGTGAACAGTTTAACCAATGTTTTATTTTGTTGACCTTAGATGGTGATATATTTGTTTAAAAATCAGTGAAATTAAAAGGTGTAGAAGTTTTTCTACTTCTATTAGTTTTTATTCACAAGGTTGACCTCTAGATTAATATTGAGACATTTTATATCCAGTGTTGCATCCTCTCTAATCCTATGAAAACTTCACAGTAAATATGTTTCAGTTGCACTGTGTCTCTCTCTACACTAAAAAAATACTAATGTTACAAATGTAACAGATTCCTCTCAGATGGTCTTTTTGGGTTTTATGTGTTTTTCCAGTCATCAGTCAAAATTTACTCCCTCAGTATAAAAATACAGACTTCGAGTTAAAGAATTAATGATCCTTGAGTTCAGCCTCACCGCGTGTAAGAGAAATAGTCTGAGCTACGTTTAAATAATCAGTCCTAAACTGTCAAATAAGTATATTTTGTATTTACTACTACTGGTGTTTGAAGAAAAATTCAAAATTGGTTTAATTTTTCAATCTGAAATTGCCTTAAATTACTTTCTGCAGCTTTTTATTATTAAAGGTCTGTTTTTTTTCCCCGTATTTGAGCTTCTTTCTACTCAGCCAACCATGTGACTGGTCTGCAGGCACCATCCCTGCAGAAACACTGATGCCAAGATAAACTACTGTTTTCCCTTTTTTTGTTATTGCCGTCAATTTTTCCTCAGCAGTCTTAAATTTACTGTCTCATTGAGTTCATGAGATATTCTAAACTGGAAAAAATGTTGTTGCTATAGCGGTCATTTTTTTAAAATCGCAAATCAACCTCGGTGCTAAAGATTAAAAAATATATTTATATGGAACAAGAAATGCATCATGTCCATATGACTTGAACCTTCTGACATGAGAAGTGCCTCTTTTAAACTGTGCTGTAAGCAGAGTTTATTAAAGTGAGGAGGCAGAAGTAAAAACTGGGATTGTACTTCTGTTTATAATTTGTGTTGTTCAAAATAGTGTGGTTATCTTTCATTTTTTATTTTTGCTTCCTACAGATCGAGAGGACCAATCCATTCTTTGCACGTGAGTAAACAGTCTTTTTGCTCAAGTTCATGTATGTGAACTCATATGTGGACCAGGACCCTTGGGTGGGTCGTGACAGCTCTTTTTTAAGTGAGTGAGTGACCAGACTGTCACCACTTCAAATGTAGGTCTGAGAAATGTCTGACATTTCTGTGAGACAGCATCTGGTGTATTCCAACAGTAAGTGTGCACAGATGACAGGAATGCAGCCACGAAAGATGCTGTTAGAATGTAAACAATGCTGCTGTCTGGTAGGAAGCATGAACATTAAGGTTTTTGTATTATTTTGTRAAGCTGGGTACTAGGGATGTAACCTTACAAGTACATGAATTAGACAGCATATAAGTCTTGACCTTGGGAATGTACAAACTATCAGTCCAAGGTGAACACTATGTATGCAGTTAGCTGCTGTTAACAGAGTAATCATGGACTAACAAGACAAAAAACACCCACACTCCCATATCCATACTCTGCCACGTCACACTGGCTCAGTCAAAAAAGCAAAACAATGTCTAACACATACTTGGTGTGTGCAAATTTGCACGTTCTGTAAAACCTCAGACATGCTCTAAATCTAAAATGCTGCGACCGTTTCTGCAAGACTTAAGGCCCTGGAAATATTTTTCTCTCCTGTTTCACTATGTCATGGTGACTGTATGAGATAGCAGCAAGCCAGGAACCACAGCTGCAAACTTGTGCCGTCACTTGGAAAATAAAATGCCACGAAAGTGCGATAGAAAGTATGCACCAGTGTTGATCACAGTTTAGCCTGTGCAGTGAAAGGGAGGACAGTCCAATCACATTCAGTCAAACTAATTTAACATGAACTCAGTGCTGAGCACCTGGAAATGTGCAAACCTGCAATGATTTATTATGTGGTCCTTTTATGGTCCTCTGGTGGTTAAACTGTTGATGTGAAAAGTTTAGTGTATGGCTTCGTTTGGGGGGTGTCTGTTTTTGTGTCAGCTGTCCTTTATTTTATTTTATTTTATTTTTTTCGTTGCAGAGGCGAGTCAGGAGCTGGAAAGACAGAAAACACTAAAAAGGTCATCCAGTACCTGGCACATGTTGCTTCCTCCCACAAAGGAAGAAGGGATCACAGCATGACTGTAAGTATTCTATCAAAACTATACATTCTGCAGCAGATACCCCTTTTTAGCTTTCAAATACCTGCTTTAACCCAAACACTGACTGAGTTACTGTAAAAACTCTGAATATAGTTACAGTATGTCAGCGTAATACTAGAAAAACACTGTTTGGACTAAAGAGATTTCATTGAGTTGTTTGGCTAAGATGAGATTTTTGGCCACATTTCTTTGCAAACAGTTGTTACTGTGAGCAGGTGTGAAGGACAATTATATGTCTAATCTAACAGTTTACATTTGTTTATCTGTAACAGCCTGAATCACCCAAACCAGTGAAGCTACAGGCAAGTTGCCATGTTTCCTTACACACATTGTTTATACGCATGCTACACTAACGTTTTCCATCCAAACAAAACCATTCTCTCTAAAACTGAACTGTCTCTTTCCTCTGGAATGGTGTCCCTGATTGCACTTTACTTCATATTGTTATTAAAATTAAAACCATTAGAATCTTCTACTCTCTGTCTGTCAGGCACAAAATGCATCTGTAACTGTTAAAATTGGCATGATTACCAACACTTCCTTCATAGTGTCTTTGTTGTTGTTGTTTTTCCACATACAGTATGTTTATAATTTGCTTTTCTTATTCAGTGAAACATTGCATGCACATGTTTTTTTGTTGTGGTAGCCACATGGTCAGATTTGGCCAACAGCTTGTGTTGTTTAAAAGTTTTTACTGCTGTTTAAGTTTTAATTACAGTTACATACGTGTTGTAAATGTGTTTTGGTTGTTGATAAAAGCATCACATCATACAAAAACAAGGTTGTGACTAACAACTACATCCACAGTACAGTAGTCAGGTTTTCTTTGGCTTGATTTTTTTTTTACAAGCTGTCTCTTTTCTGAGCAGACACTGAATTACAGACGCAGGGTATCAGTAACCTTACTAATAATACTTACTAGATATTACAGTCACGTAGCTGATAAATATAGTTTTTCAGTTTGTTTTCTGCCTAATAATAACCTTTAACTCAAAGCTTTGGCAGTGCTCTGTTTCAGAAATTTTCTCTTGGTATCCATGACATAAATGCAGTTTATTATTTTTGTACATTATTTATTTAACAACTGAATCTCCTCATGTCCTACAGAGTGGAGCCCTGCTTTATGTGAGTAGTTTGTAGTTTTTTTTTTAACCATCTCAGCTCACTTATAAGATACACTAAGTGCTTTGCTCACTCTGGTGCCACCTACAAGATAAACTGCCTCACTTTTAACTTTTACGTTTTTGTTTTTTTTAGTCAGAGTGGGAGCTTTCTGTCCTGCTGTAGTTTGAACTTTTGCCTTGCATGATCTACATTTTCTTCTCTGGTTTAATTAATGGCTTGATATTTTCTCAAATATACATGAGATCTGTAATATATGAAAACTATTACAGACTACATAATTTAAGAAAAGCATCTTTTGAGTATTTACTTATAATTATCACATACTTTATTTGCTTCTGCATGTGTATAATCAAATAAGTCTTTTTCCTAGTGTCCTAAGTTTCATCTCAAATATAATGTCACTTCTAACACATTGCTTGTTCTTTTTTTCTCCTTTTGTGAAAGTATTTTATAAAAGTTTTGGTCCATCTTTAAGTACTGATCAGAGTTTAGTAATCATAGAGTATTATTTACTGGAATGGTTGAGTAGTTGAAACTAATTTCTAGTAGGTAAAATTAAATTTCAAGGTCTGATTTGTTTAATTTTCTAACTGTTGTTTTTCATCCTTGAACATCCTCCAACAAATTGTACATCAACCAGACAATCATCAAAAAAGATTTTTGGTATTTTTACCAAAAAAAAAAACAAAGTAGTGGCGACCGCTGAAGAAGGGAGCAGCTGAAAAACAATAAAAAAAACCTGTATTTAAAAAAAATCAGATTTCATGTCACCTCATCTTAATCACTTTACTTGGAGGTCTTTGCAGAACATTTTTTTCAGTTTGTTTTCTCTTCCTAAGAATCTGGGCCAGATGAATTTTCCACATGGTCTAGTTCCCGACTAGCATTCTTATTTTTCTTGCATTACAAAAAAAAAAAAAAAAAGGACGACTTGGAATATTTGTCTGGCTATGACCTCCGAGGCAGATGTTGAGCAATACAAACACAACTGGGCTGGATTTACTGGGACAGTTCTGACTTATCCTTTCTGGCTGACCCAAAGGCTCTGCCACAGCTCTCCAAACAGAGGTTTTGAAAAGAGTCCAACGTRCAGCAGTTTTGCAAGAAAATATACATTTTTAGGAAGCAATTCTTGGAAGTAAAGAGGGAGCAGAATAAACAGACAAGTAGAAGTTTCAAATGAGGAAATTTAACAATCAAGCTGCTTCACTTTTATAAAAACAAAGACTTTGAGTCTGAATGATCTGCTCAAAAATTCAGCTCATTTTTCGCCGCACATCCTGAGTAAGTTGCTGATTCTTTAGTTCCCTTTTGTGGAAAAAGTCTTACTCAAATCTTTGGCGCGTAAATCTGTTTCTGTCGTAATGGGAGAACAGTTTTCTCAGCCACGAGAAGATAAATAACTCTGCAGACAAGAAGTGTTTTATCTTTCATCAGCTCTGGATCCTCTGGTCACGACAAAGCCCACAATGAGGTTTAGTTAAACACATAATGAAAACACCTGTCAAAATATCTTCATCGCTCTATTAGGTTTGTTACCAGTTTCTGGTTTTGCTCACTTTGTGGTAATAAAGTTTTCTGCATTTGCATGTTTTATTTCCGGTAGTTTTTTAAAAATTTTTGTCACTTTTTCTTGTCAAACTTACAACACTACTTGTGTGTATATTGTGTGCTTCTTTTAAAGGGTGAATTGGAACGTCAGCTTTTACAAGCCAACCCCATTCTCGAGGCATTTGGGAACGCAAAGACTGTGAAAAATGACAACTCGTCCCGTTTTGTGAGTAGATCCAGTTGAAAACTTTGATTTGATCTTTAACATTAGAATCCAGTTTAAAGGTCTGTGTTTGTGTCATAAACACAATTTAATTATTAGTCTGTCGTCATTTATACCCGTCTTCACTAAACTTCGTTAAGCTTTCTATAACCTGTATGGTCTGTAATAATGCTGCTGATTTTAAACTAACTTTGAAAAACACCTTTAGACAGAATAATTCTGCTACTATTTTAGGATTTACCAAATAGTCAATGTCAAATTTATTTATATAGCACATTAAAAACAACAAAAGCTGACTAAAGTGCTTTACTGTTCAGTCAAGACTTGTATCAAAATCAAAACAAATAATAGATACAAATGCAGTACAGAAACACACTATAATATATAAAAACCTCTAACTATTTTAATCAAAAACCAAAGAAAAGAGATGGGTCTTCAGCAAAGATTCAAGCCTCAGCTGACCGAATATTAAGAGGTAGAAATAGTTTCTTTCCTATTAATTTGGGATGTTGACCCCTCACCTGTCAGACAAACTTCCACCCAAGATGAAATACTGATACTGGTCAAATTAACTGAAGTCTATGTTATAAATTCTTTCCTTTTTTAGTGTTTTTTATATCCTGTGTTAATTTTGTTTCAGGGGAAATTCATTCGGATCAACTTCGATGTCGCCGGATACATYGTTGGAGCCAATATTGAAACCTGTATCCTGTTTTCAAATTGATAAAACACATTTTAGTCACTGTGAATCATATATTCATGAGGAAAATGGGTTTGTATTTTTTGACGAAAGCAAAATCTAACTTTGAAAGCTGCAGCTCTAAACCTCTTGAGGTTGGTCAAAAAGCCTTTAGGTTTTAGTTTTATTCTCATCAGACACATTCGGTCCAAGCTTTGAACCTCATTGTAACTCAGCTACTTTTCCAGCTCCGGAGTAGATTTGTTCTTCCTGACTCTTCTGTGTCAGACCTTTTGGAGAAGTCCCGAGCCATTCGTCAAGCCAAAGATGAGCGCACCTTCCACGTCTTTTACCAGCTGCTGGCAGGGGCCGGCGAGCATCTGAAGTGTGAGTAGATGGAGAGCCGAGCGCTCGTTAAACTGTCGAAATACTTCATTCTGTCGTAACTCAGGACCACAGGTGCTTTTTAGCTGCAAGACTGCTGACAGCTGGCAAAATAAAGGAAAAGTCCTTGACCCCCTACAGTGTTGAGGCTCGTGGTTCTGGTGCTCCATTAGAGTTCTAGAAAGATGCAGGAAAAAAAGCAACATTTTGTCACTTTTGTGAAGAGTAATTTTTTTAATTTTTTCTATCTCCAGCGGATTTGCTTTTAGAAGGCTTCAACAACTACCGTTTCCTGTCAAACGGTCACATCCCAATTCCAGGCCAGCAGGACAAAGACAACTTCCAGGAGACCATGGAAGCCATGCACATCATGAGCTTCGCCCATGAGGAGATTCTGGGTATCTGTCATGCTAACTCTGTTTCAATGGCCAGTATTTAAAACTTAAAATGCAGAAATGTCTGAAGTTTTCTGTGGATTCTGATATTTGCAGCCATGTTGAAGGTGGTGTCCTCGGTGCTTCAGTTTGGTAACATAGTTTTCAAGAAAGAAAGGAACACAGATCAGGCCTCCATGCCTGATAATACAGGTAGGTGTTTCAGAGTGACAGCAAACTGCCTGAACAGACACCTCTCTAGCTCTGCTCCTCCTCCCCTGTCCTCCCTCATTCCCTGCACCTTCTCCTGAGCTCTTCCATCCACCCAAAGATATTTACTCCAAAAAAGAAAAAAAGCAGCAGCCTTTCAGTTCCTCCACATGTGGCTCTGCTCATTTATTWCTAAACAAAGTGAGACGTGAAGAGGTTGAAGGAGTCTGTGTTTAATGATGCAGTTCAAATATTCCCAAATGCTGCAACACAACGCAGACGTGTTTTCATTAGCTGTAGACCTTGGCTGGTCCAGATAAGATCTTTACTTTTCCACAGTTTCTAGCCATCATCAATATTTTATRTCCATCACATTTCATATTGCTTAGAGCTTCATAATAATAAAACAAAGTTGAACTCCACCGTTGACCCACTGTTTTAACAAAGATCTTGTGTAACATGAAGTCGTTTACTTTTTTCAATCGTATTATTCAGATATTCTTAAAGTTTCTACATGATTTCTGCTTTGTTTCTTGGTTAAACAACTTAACAAACTGGAGAGAGTTGGACATTTGTATTAAAATTTTTTTATTTATTTTGCGAGTAAAAAATTATATTCTTTTACATTTTTGTGTTTCCCAGCTGCTCAGAAGCTGTGTCACCTGTTGGGTATGAATGTGATGGAGTTTACCAGAGCCATCCTGACTCCCAGAATCAAAGTGGGGAGAGATTATGTCCAGAAAGCACAGACCAAGGAACAGGTTCGATTTTATAGGCTTTTATATTTAAAACAACCAGTAATATTTTTTAGGTTTATTCAGTCACTGAACTGATTTCTTTTATCAATTTCATGTTTTTGTAGGTTTTGTTTCTTGGTTGTTCAGTTCAGTTTTTCTTTAAAAAAAGTATTTATGGATTGTTAGCATGTCTGTTTAAACACTGCGACCACCTGTACTGTATACCTGCTTAAGCTTTTAATTTTATTTATTCTTTCTCTCTGTGTTGTCCCTCTGTTGTTTCTTTTCTCTCTCGTTTCTCTGCCTCTCTTCCAGGCTGACTTCGCTGTTGAGGCTCTGGCTAAAGCAACATACGAGCGTCTTTTCCGCTGGCTCGTCCACCGCATTAATAAAGCTCTGGACAGGACCAAACGGCAGGGAGCCTCCTTCATCGGTATTCTGGACATCGCAGGTTTTGAGATTTTCCAGGTTTGTGTTGAATTCTTTATGATTTTCATTTTTAAGACAGTGTGTATAATTTGTAAGTAATTTTGTCAAATCATCTAATTTCTTGTTTGTTTTTTTTCCCTCCCACAGCTGAACTCCTTTGAGCAACTGTGCATCAACTACACCAACGAGAAGCTGCAGCAGCTCTTCAACCACACCATGTT